GGTGTTAGACTCTGGAGCCACTATTAGCATTATATTGAAGAAATTAGCAAAGAAACTTAGCTTAGAAATTACTGAGCCATCTAATACCATAGTAATCATAGCCAACAAAACCAGAGAGTGTGTCTTAGAAAAAAATATCTGACGTAAGAATGGCTATCAGAAACGTAATAATGCCTACTGCTTTTCAGATAATTGAAAACCCCAAAGAAGTAATGTTGCTAGGAATGGACTGGTTTCAAAAAGTCCAGACCCGGCTTCATTTCGATGAAGGCAAGCTATTTCTATGCTACTTGGGTAAGAGTATAGAAGGACCTATTTAGCAAGCAAGAGAAAACCAATTAATAACAACCCAAGAGACAAATGATAAAATAACGACAACTACTTCAATAACTTTGAAAAAGAAGAAGTTGAAAGCTATAATACAGATAAGGCAGAAGAAAATCAATTTTGCAAAGATATAGAAAGCCTGGCCATTTACCTAACTGCTATTAAAGAACTACCAACCCAGGAAGAAAGCGAAGCTCCTGAATTATTGAATGAAGAAACCCAGAGAAATTTAATTTAAACAGATAATTTAAGTAAAGAACAAAAAGAAGAAATAACACAAATCATAAAAGGATATGGTAAATTATTTTCTAATATGTTAGATAAAATCGGTTATATAGCTAATATACAGCATGAAATTGACATGGGAGATGCAAAACCAATTAAGCAGACCACCTATCGAATTGCTCCAGATAAACAAGATTTCTTAAATAAGAAAATTAATAAATTAATGGATAACAACTTAATTTATGAAACAAAAAGTCCCTGGACCTCATTTGTGGTTATTGACCAAAGAAAAATAGAAAGTTATAACTATGCATCGATTACCGTAAACTAAACCTTGTAACAAAGAAGGATGCCTATTCACTTTCGCGTATTGATGATATATTGGAAACCTTTGAAAAAGCAAGCTAGTTTTCTAGCCTAGATTTGGCCAATGGCTACTAGCAAATTGGCATAAAACCTGAAAATCAGGAAAAAATAGCCTTTGTCACCAAACAAGGGATATATGCATTCCAAGTAATGCTATTTGGGCTATGCAATGCCCCTGCGACTTTCCATAGAACTATGAACCAAGTGTTAAATGAGTTTATCAGACATTTCATAGCGGTTACCTAGACGACATAGTAATTTACTCGCACACTTACTAAGAACATTTGGACCATGTTATAAAGGTCCTTGCCAAAATTAGAGCCGCCAGGTTAAAACTTAACCCAGAAAAATATGACTTGTTCAAAACTAACATTCAATTTCTAGGCCATGTAGTGGGACAAGATGGCATAAAGCCCGACCAGGCAAAAATAGAAAAGTAAAAGAATTTCCTATCCCAACTAATATTAGACAGCTATGAGGATTTATAGGTCTTGACTTATATTATTGAAAATTCATCACTGGATTCGCCACCATGGCTAAACCTTTGTATAAGTTATTGAAAAAGGGTATTAATTATAAATGAGGACTACAACAAGAACATGCATTTATGACATTAAAAAATGCTTAACTTCGGCTTTTATATTATAGTATCTAGACTACAATAAAACTTTCTACTTATACACAGATGTCTCTGGTGTGGGTCTTGGTGCTATACTAGCCCAGAAGGGAAAAGGCAAGAAAGAGTATGTTATAGTCTATGCCAGTAAAAGTCTCACCCGTCCAAGCTGGAATGCTATGCCATAGTGTAAGCTGTAGAACATTTTCATAATTATCTCGGATATAAGCCCTTTGTGATTGTAACTGATATAGTGCTCTAAAATGGCTATATACAATGGCATTAAAGAGAAGAAGAGCTCAATAGATTTTACATCTACAACTCTATAACTGTACAATAATTTATCGAACAAGCTGCAAGCATAATAATGCCGATGCATTATCAAGAATGGTTAAAGAAAAAACCCTACAGCAAAAAAAAATAAATTAATAAGCTGAGACCAAAACGCAGCTAATATAAAGAATGCTAATAGTTCTTCTAAAACAAAATTAGAAACTATCAAAGCCCAAGTAACCGAAGCTATAGAAGAGGTAGAAATCTTTAGGGTCATAGTAAAAAATTACTTCCCTGAAGACTCCAAAGAAGAAACTGAGATTAATAATCTGGAGCAATGAATAGGATGACTAGGAAGAAGATGAAGAAATGATGAGCGAAATTTATCTACGAAGACATCATATATTGCCATGGATGTTCTACGCACCTTTTGTCTGATAGAGGCTCCTATTTTAGAAGCAGACTTATCGATAATCTGTTAGCCTCTTTACAAATTAAATATCAATATT